ATGCTTTAATGAGAAAATTAACTCCAAATTAAGTCCAAATAAAACAGAGCTAGTGTATCCCTTCATCTAAATTGAAATCATTCAAATTCCTCTGGGGTACTTCGTTTCAAATGTGCTTAACCGCCTAGTCTAGTCCTAAATCATGAATGAGCAAGTCACTAGGAACAGTCTAAAGCACACAGTCAACTATCATTGATTCATGTTCACCATTCCCTTTTAAAACGTATTTTGTTTTGAAAACCGATTTTGAAAAACTTTAAGGAAATTGCAAAAAATGTAGATAATGCAAGACTCATGAAAGAAAAGTGGTTAGAAAGGGATGAAATCCTCCCCCAGACTTAAATCACACTGTCCTCAGTGTGAAACAAGTCGAGATTGGATGAGAAAAATGCATAAATAATCGAATTGGTAAGGACAAAGAGAACTTACCTGGATCCGGGATGCTGGTGGAGATGAACCGGATTCATTCGAAGGGGTTTGGGAAGGTGATTAGGTTGTGATGAAGGTGGTGGAGGGTGATGAATGAGGTGGAGGGTGATTGGTGAGGTGAAATGAGGTGAAAGGGATGGTTTGGGTCGGGCTTGGATGTCAACGACCAAGTGCCGCGGTCAGGGGCTGCACGACCGCGGCAACCAAGTACTTGGCCGCGGTCAGGACTACGCGACCGCGGCTGACAGTAGGTTTCCTGCGGTCAGAACACTTGCGACCGCGGGGGCCTATATCGCGGCCTCTTCCTGCTTCTCCTTGGTTCCTGCTGGGCCGAGCAGTCAGGTACCATCCTTCTTTTTGGTTTTTTCTGGTTTTTTTGATTTTTTTGGCTTTTTTTGTTTTATAAGAAGCACCTGAAACTAAGAAAAAAAAAACATCAAAAGAAAAAGAAAGAAAAATTCTAAAGAAAACAATACCTAAATGGGTTGCCTCCCATTAAGCGCTTTTGTTTTAAGTCGTTTAGCTCGACTTTTGGTGTTGGACGTGACTTATTCCAATGAAGAAGACCTTGTCCTGAGACAAGTCTTTTTCGACATCTCCTTGCTTTGCTTAGCAGGTTCTTCGTCACTCCAAAGTTCTTCTTCAAACTCTTCTGTTGCAGAACGTTTTCCTGCTTTGCTCTTGTATGGAACAGCTTCTGTGAAGACATCTTTGTCGATATTAGCAAATGAAATCCTCCGGTTTGGCCAGTCCATTATAGCTCCGGAAGTTGCTAGAAAAGACCATCCCAGAATCACTGGATATGTTGCATCTCTCGTTTCGACAATGTAGAAGTCGACAGGCACTATGCAATCTCCTATTCTCAAAGGAATTTCATGAGCTATTCCTTGAGGTGTTGCATTAGAATCATCAGCTAGACTAATCTTTGCTCTAGTCCTGTGCAGGTGTTTGATACCAAGTCTCAAAGCAATTGCCTTGGACATCATGTTACGACAAGCTCTAGAATCACATAGCACGTTTTTAAGCATTTCTCCTCTAATAGAACAAGAGATAAGAAACTGACCTATACCTTCTATTTTATGAAGTGTTCGAACAGGTTTACCTCTTCTGGCATGATTGAACAAGTCTTCTATCTCAGGGATTGATTCTTTGCTCTCACAGAAGTAGTGGCCTATCATGAAGTCCTTGCAAGCTTTGGCAAACGTGATTCCTTCAGGTAAATTTCGAACCACATCATTGAATTCGTCGAGCTTTTCCTTGCTGATTTTGTTGGTGTAGTGGCTGCAGTCTTCCGGATTTTTGAGGTGAATCGCATAGACAGCTGCTTCTGGTGTTGTCATGTATCGAGCTCTCATAAAGTATCTATGGATATCCTCTTAGACTCTTTGCAGTACCTGAAAAAGACTTGCAAACGACCAAGTTTCCAGATTTCATCAAAGCTCATTAAGGGAATGACCTGACTACGTTGTTGAACTCCATTAGTTTCTCTCTACTGATGTTGTTGGTGATCCATTGAATTTCTCCTGAGTCGTCTTCTGAGGAATATCCTGCGTTTGGATCTTCTACAAACAACCCATACTCTTCATCTTCAGAGTATTGCTCTTCATACTCATCTTCACAAGACAAAGCCATGTTGCAAGGCCATGACTTGTCTTCTTCTTCAGATCTTTGGGTGCTTATGGAGCAAACCAGTTGTTGATGAAGTGGTTTAGTCATCCCAGGAGGTGTACCAGACGTACAGATGCTTGTATGAGCTGAACGGGAGTGTTTTGGGACGTTTTTACGGTTGGCCTTGACTGCAGGTGACGCGACCGCGGGGAAGCGACCATGGGCCGCGGGCAGACCCATCACGACCACGGGAGAACGCCTGTTGGCCGCGGTCGGAGCCGACGCGACCGCGGGAGTTGGTCTCCGAGCTTCTCTGCTGCTGTTGCTTCCTCCTTTGCCTCCTTGGTGGTCTCCTGGGTCTTCTGGCTTGATGTACTTCCTCTCTGGACTTGAGTCTTTAGTTTTGGTTGCTGGAATCTGCTCTCCAAGTCCTTGCATGATCTCCTCAACCTTTTCTTCAACCTCATCAAGAGCATAGACTACTTTGTCCATGGTTGAGTCAAGCTCTTCGGTTTTGTCGATGACTTTGTAAACTTTCTCTGAAACTTCGACTGTAAAGTCATAAGACTCGTTCTTAGCTTCGTTTAGGGCTTTGTCCACGTCATCAAGTTTGAAATCCAGGTCCATGACTTTGTTTTTGGTGTTGCGAAGCTCATAGTTGTGCTTTGCTTGCTCTTCCTCCATGCTGTTGAACCTGTTAGCAATCATAGCTGCATCCTTGGTTGCACGTTCCTCTATTGAATTGACTTGTGAGGCTAGGTTATCGATTTTTTCATTGAAAAGTTTCGATATCCCATCAATCCTTTCGTTTAGAGCAGTTGTAGCGGTTGCTTGAGCTTCTATGAACTGTCTGATCACGCCTTCGAGCTGACTCAGTCTGTTACTGAGCTGGACGTTCTCATCTTGCTGGAGAACTTGGTGAGGTAGGCGATACATAGAGTATCTAGGGTTTGCCATCTCAGGTGCGTAGGGCTCCTTCTGGAACGTTCTGTAGTCTTCGCTTTGAGTTTTTTCGTAGAGATCTCGCTGATATTGCTTCTCTATGCGTCTGGTGGCTTGAGGAGTGTTATAGAAACCTTTCTCATAGTGTATATCTCGATTTATAGGATCCATATCTTCTGAAATGGAAACAAAATAACCGAAAAATGGAAAGTTGCAGAAAAGGGGTTCTAGAGTCGATTTACTAACCTTTCTCGGGGTTTTTCAGAAAAGAAAACGCGTGCCTTCCCCGGCAACGGCGCCAAAAACTTGATGGTGGTGTGTTGTGGGTGTCAAGTTTTACCCTAATTGAAATCAATAGCCGCAAGTGCACAACTGATCGATTGTAGTACTTAGGGATCGAATCCACAGGGAAGGAGGATCTTTTGCTGCAAAAAGCCTTTGAAATAAGTTAAAGTAAGAAAGTCTAGAACAAAAACGGTTTAGTGGGGGTTTGGTAGTGTGTTTAAAATCTAAAAACGAAATATTAAAAGAGAATACGGGAATTAAATGACGTAATAACTAAACTTAACGAAAATGACTAAAAATAATAAAAACGGATATTCTAATGCTTAAATGAAAATGAACTAAAAAGGAAAGACAATATTGAACTAAAGCTTGAAAGAAAATCGGTGTAAATCAATGGAGAAGAAAGCGTTGGGGTTCAGGGAAGTTTTCTCAGGGGTACGAACGATTCAAAACATTGCTAGAGAGTAAATTGATAAGATCTTAGCTTAAACTTTTCGAACTGGAGTCACGGACGTATGAATACGCCACTGTCGTGATCATAGACACTATCTCTCTCAACCCTGACTAGACGTTTCCACTCTGGCCCTGGAAGAGAAGAGATGCATTATGTTTAAGACTCGTCCTAATTCACAAATCGCCGTAGGTAGGTTTCCACTCCTATGTTTGTTTTGCTCTCCTAAACTAGATCTGATACCTGATGAACACTTTTGTGTCACCAAGCATCTGGATCAGATTGTAGTTCATGACGCTACCATCATGCAGTAAAAACGAATTCAGAAGAAAAAGTTCTAAGATTCAGCTCAATAGCCAATGGAATCCTCACCGAACATATAAATCCCCATCGAAAATCCCTTAATCCCAACAATAAAACAACTCAGACATAATGAACGAAATCAAAGACATAATATTAAGAAGTAGAGTAGAAACCGAAATTGAAAAAGAAAGAACAAGGGTTCAAGAGAACAAATCTCTCTCTCCCTAAAAGCTAAAGCAAAAACAATAAGAATATGAAGTAAATATTTCGGTGGTGATAGGTTTCACGATTTCTAGGGCTCCTAAGACATGTATTTATAGTGCTCAAGACCTCTCTGGACGTCACTTAGGGTTTCTCCAAATGTGGGCTTCAGAAATGGGCTTTTTGGGCTCGGAGGTTGAAGGCCGCGGTCGGGACAAGTGTGACCGCGGTGGATGAGTGGTTTGCCGCGGTCGGGATGCTCCTGACCGTGGGAAAATGCTTGTTGGCCTCGGGAAGAAGTGCTGGCCAGCTGGTTTACGGGACATCTTGCTCTTCGCGTATCTTTTGATTGAACCGTTGGATTGCCAAGCTGTAAAGTGCACTGGAAAGCTGATACTTCCATCTTTAAGGTCTCCAAATTTGAGCTGGATCAGACGGTGAGAAGGCCTTCAATCAGGGGTGAACTTCTGACGGTTTGACTCTGAGATGAAATCTGGTTTTCTATCCATTTTGTTAAGCTTTTCCCTAAGTTTCCTGAAAAGAGTCTTGGAACTACAAATACTAGAAAAACGTGATAATAGTACTTAAAAGCAATTAAAAACATAGAAAAAGTATTTCAAAACGATCCATAAAAGTGGTCAAAATACGGTGTTATCACTATGCCAATCCCTGATGCATCACACTCCACTTCAAATGTTTTGTTGAAGTCGGGCAATACTAGAACGGGTGCATTGGTTAGCTTCTCCTTGAGTGTATCAAACGCCTTTTGTTGAGCTTCTCCTCAGGTAAAACCAACACTTTTCTTCACCACAGCTGTGAGAGGTGCGGCTATACTGCTGAAATCTTTGACAAAACGCCGGTAGAAGCTTGCTAACCCATGGAAACTCCTCACTTGACTGATGTTTGTTGGAGCCGGCCAGTCTTTGATGGCTTTAATCTTTTCCACATCAACCTGTAATCCCTGCGAGCTCACAAAAAAACCTAGAAAAACCAACTTATCAGTGCAGAATGCGCACTTCTTTATGTTTGCATAAAGGCCTTCTTGTCGAAGAGTCTTTAAAACAAGCTCAAGATGTGACACATGATCAGATAAACATTTGCTGTAAACTAAAATATCATCAAAATAAACTACAACAAACTTACTGATGTATGCTCTAAGAACTTGGTTCATTAGACGCATAAAAGTACTTGGTGCATTGGTGAGGCCGAAGGGCATCACCATCCACTCATAGAGACCTTGCTTGGTCTTAAAGGCAGTCTTCCATTCATCACCTTCTTTCATCCTCACTTGATGGTATCCACTCTTGAGGTCGATCTTTGAGAACAAGGTGGCTCCACTAAGCTCATCAAGCATGTCATCAAGTCTTGGAATCGGGTGTCTATACTTGATGGTGATGTTGTTGATGGCTCGACAATCTACACACATGCGCCATGAGCCATCTTTCTTTGGCATCAACAGGACAGGAACGGCACAAGGGCTGAGGCTCTCCCTCACATATCCTTTATCTAGTAGTTCCTTGACTTACCTCTCTAACTCCTTAGACTCCTCAGGGCTCATTCGGTAAGCCGGTTTGTTTGGCAAAGCTGCTCCCAGGATGAAGTCTATTTGGTGCTCTATGCCTCGAATTGGTGGCAGTCCCTCAGGCATTTCTTCAGGGAACACATCTTTAAACCTGTCAAGTAAATCAGTAATATCCAGTGGTAGTTCAAGCTCACCTAGAACCTGCGCTCAAAAGCTCCTTAAAGATCATTAGTAGCATTGTGTGTTTAGCAGCAAAAACTTTTCTTACATAACTAGGCTGAACAAGAAAATTTGATTTAGAGACACTTTCTTTTTCTTTTAGCATTTGCATTTGAAGATCATGCACTTGTGATGGTGTAAGAGGTGCTAGACTAACCTTTCTTTTATTATGCATAAGAGTGTACATATTAGTCTTACCATCATGCTTAGTTTCTCTATCAAATTACCATGGTCTACCTAACAATAAATGACCAGCTTGCATAGGAACTACATCACATAAAACTTGATCTTGATATTTTCTTATGCTAAATGAAATGGTGACTTGATCGGTAATTTTAAGCTCTACCTTATCATCGAGCCATCTCAGCCTATAGGGCCGTGGATGTTTGTTCTCTCAAGGCCTAGCTTATCCACCATGTGAGCACTTGAAACATTAGTACAAGACCCACCATCAATAATAAGGTTACATACCTTCCCTTTTATGGTGCAACGGCTGTGAAAGATGTTCTCTCTTTGTATGGTCTCGGCTGGCTCCACCATTACACTTAGTACACGTCTAGTGACAAGAAGCTCTCCTGTATCTGGATAAGCTATGTCACCATACTCATCGTCTTGATCTTCTTGAACATCAGCTTCATCGTGTGACTCATACTCTCCAGCCTCGGTCATGAGCCGCCTTGCCTTTGAAACGTGAATCAATTTCCACACCTTTGCCTTTGTCGAGTGGTTTGTTGAAGTTGGAGTTCCAAGTGGTTTGTGGCTTGCTTCTGGTGTTGGTGATCTTCTTCTTGATGTGTTGTTCTGCCTGTATAGACAAATGGAAAATATCTTTGAAGTCTTGATGTACCTGTCTCTCCACTTTGCGGCTGATCCTCTCTTGCAAACCATCAAGAAACTGGGCCATTAGAGCTTCTTCGTCGTCATGAACCTCCAAATGATTCCTTAAGCGCTCAAACTCTTCATAGTATTCTTCTACAGTCCTGGTTCCCTGTTTAAGAGTTCGAAAACGACGCTGTAAGTCTCTATAAAAATGAGGGGGAACATACCTTTGCCTCATCAGGTCTTTCATGTCGACCCATGTATCAATAGCTCTCAAACGGCTCCTCTTGCGGTCTGAAAATTCTCTGTCCCACCATGTAAGTGCACCGTCGGTGAGCTGAGCCACTGCTAGTGCTACTCTCTTTGGACCAGGGTGATTGTAATAGTCGAAGATGTGATCCATCCTCTTCTCCCAATCTAGATAAGCCTCTGGGTAAACTTTGCCAGCAAAGTTTGGTGCGGTCAGCTTGATATGGTTCTGGTTCTGTCTAAAGTAAGGTGTATTCTCTTCATCATCGGCATCTCCATAGTCATCTTGTGGCACACGCCTTCTTTGACCACGGTTTCGCCTATTGCGAGGGTTTGGTTCATCGTCTTGAGATGAATCTTCTTCTTCCCCTAAGTTTGTGGCGTCTGGCTCATTGATGTGAATGCCATTGCGTCTGGTATTGGCTCCAGCATTATGTGCTCCGGTGTTGTTGGTTCCAAGGCCGCCAACATTACGAATGGGTGCTCTCGGAATTTGCTCGACCGGAGTGATCCGGTCACCAAGTTCTTGCCTTAAAGATTTTATCTCATCTCTCATACTAACCACCAACATGTACAAGACGTCTTGATTATTGCTGGTATCTTCTCCCATGGTTTATTGCTCTCGCAAAAGAAACAAAGAGGAAGTGATTAAGCTCGTTCAAGAAATAAGAGAATAAATATGGCAAGTCTGAATTATCAAAAAAAAATGTAAATTATGCTTTCTCTTTTTTTTTTTTGATTTTATAATGACAGACTCTAATTGAATTAATTAAGGAAAATAAATTCTGTCTAAATAAATTAGAACTTAAACGAGTTTGTGAGTCAAAGAGTGATTGAAACAAATATGGAAATATTGACTAATGCACTGAAGTTTGGAAAATCAACACAACAATTCAGGGCTAATTGTTTTTTTTTTTACTTTTCTTTGATGTAGAAACATAGGACAAGACTCAGATACACGATGAACAATAAGATGTTATGATGAGTTTTTTTTTTTTAACTTTGATGATAAAATAATTTAACGATGAACTAATGGAAAATGATGCAAACAAGATGATATGATGTGAACTAAATTCTTCTTTTTTTTCTAACAAAATGAGTATGATTATTGAAACTAGATGCAACTATAATGAGATATGAATTTTTTTTTAATAATAATATGCAATAAAATTCAACAAAACAAATGATAAACAAAACAAAAGAGATTAAATCGGATAGATAAAACCTGGGCTGAAGGAACTTCAGCTCTGATACTAAAAATGATACAAGCACCAAGCTGTCAAGGGCTTGTAGGATCTCGGAAGCAAAGCTGTTGATCGATGGCCAAGGGGTGATTCAAGTGAATGAGCAACTCTAGACAATTGAATCAGCTGGTGGAAGTAAAGGATGTGAAATGGATCAAAGTGCACCACACAAGTTGTGAAAGACTTGTGATGCAACACAGATTCTCGGCTCTAGGAGGTACTGGTCTCAACTAGCGAAAAGAAGAACAAGTTTTACACAGAAAATCAATGAAAGAAAATTCTCGTTTTATTAATATCAAAGGTGAAAAATTACAAGGCTGTAATGGGATCTTATATAATGGTCCTAGCAGCTTAGACTCAAAGAAATAAAAAGACTCAAAACAGCAGGACTTTTAAAAGTAAAGACTCAAAACAACATGACTTGTAAATTAAAATGCTACATTAAAGGGAAATAAATAAAAAAAGGAAAGAAAGACTGTCTAAACTAATTGTCTCTGCAAGGAATCAAAGACAAAAACTCATTAGTCAAAGATATAAAAACTGATTGAACACTTACCTTATTTGGTGGCCGAGACTAGTGTGTCTTTGACTAAGCTTTGAATCTTCCCTCTTAAGTGTCTTGATTCATTGGCGAGATAGTCAGCATGTAGACTTGGGCTTGATTTGGTAAAAGGGGCCAGACATCTTGATTCTTTGAAGCTGGGCCGTTTGCTAGCTCTTGGCATTCTTCAAGTAATCCAGTCCAAGCTTGGGCTTTAAGCAGATCCACTTCTTGGTCTTCTTGCGGCTTCACTTGATCCACTTGTGACATTGCTTGCATCATGCTCTGGTTATACTTGTGTTGGAGAATCTTAGCTCTTTGTCTTGTTATGGGGCATTCATGAACAATTGGTACTTCCACATCTTATAGTTGTGGTTCGGTTAAGTCAGGTTCAGCTTGAATGGCCTCATCAAAATATCGAAGGTCTATCTTTATCTTTGTCCATCTCCAAAACTTGAAAATCGGCTGAGATTATTTTGTTTCCAATGATCAGTGGCAAGTCTTGGATCATTCCTTTTGTTCTTTTTTGAGATGAATCACCAAAGATTATCCTTACTGGAGATGGGACAAATGTACCTATACCAAGTTTCTCAGCAACAGATTTTGACTTGACATTCACATTAGCACCAGATCACATAAACAATCTGAAAATTCAATTCTAAAGATTGAACAAGTGACTGAACAACGCCTTGGATCCTTAGACTTTTTGAGTCTTTGGTCAGGCAAGCGTTTGGGTACATTAACTGGAATGACTTGGCCTTTCTCATGCTCGGTTTCAGCGTCCTTCATGAGAGGTTCAGGTGTCGATTTTCTGTTAGAGTCTGCGACATCTTCTTCTTCCAAAACTGATGTCATAGCATTGCAGAACTTCTTTGGGTTATCTTCCACTCTTCCTGGTAAGACTCCTGGTTGTCTCTTCATTGAATCTGCAGTTTGACCTATCTGATGTTCCAACTTCTTGACATGGGTCGCAAGAGATTCGAACTTCTCATTCAAGTCATTGTAAATACAATCAATCGTCACCCCCATTTCCCTGATTGACTTCTCATTGCCTTGAGTAGTCTGCATCATAGTTTGTTCAAGCGATTTAGCCTGGTTGCTTAGATGAGAAAGGGTTGCTTCTAATGAGCTGGCATGTGCTTGTTGAGGATTGAAAGGTGGTCTTTGTTGGAAGTTTCCTCCTCCATAGTTCCCATTTTGAAACTTGTTTTGACAACTCTTTTGCTGTTGCGGATAGGGCTGATTTTTGGCTCCTTGATTTCTGTATGAGAGATTGTTGGAAGTTGGCACCAGAGTTCCTGAAGTTTTTGTTGAAAGCTGGACTAAATCGGTTTTAGTATGCCTGAGCTCCCATAAAATTGATTTCTTCCTCTTGGTACATGCCATCTTCTTCATATCTTCCATCTTCTTCATTTCCTGCAGCAGTATCACAAGCATGTATATTATTATTTTGAGACTTAAGAAGTTGACTTACCATGCTTTTTAGCTCAGCAATCTCCCTTGATTCATGACTAGTGATAGCCTTCTTTGATCTGTTATACTCAGGGTTGTTTTTGCTGTTGGCTACAGCTAGATTTTCGATGAGTGCTCTCCCTTGTGGTATGGTTTTCGAACTGAAATCTCCATTGCTAGCAGTGTCAAGAGAAAGTTGATACTTCTGTTGTAGTCCTGTGTAGAAGGTGCTTAGCAGGTTTGCTCCTGAGAAACCATGATGAGGGCAGTCTGTCTCATACTCTTTGAATCGCTCCCAGGCTTCATAGAAGGATTCTATTGGGCCTTGTTGGAAACTTTGTATCTTGTTTCTCAGCTGGTTCGATCTTGACTTGGTGTAGAAGTGGTTCAGGAAAGCTGACTTGCATTCTTCCCATGAAGTAATAGAGCCAGATGGCATATATTTTAACCATCTAAAAGCTTTATCACTTAGAAAGAAAATAAAAAGCTTACACTTCACAGAATCCATAGTTTCTGGAGTTGTTCTCACCATTCCAAAGATTTCTTCAAAAATATCAATGTGGTCCATTGGATGCTCAGTAAAGATTCCATGGAATTTGTTCTGTTTCACCAAAGAGACTATTTGATGTTTTATCTCATGATTTTCTCTTGGAACATGAATTTGAATAGCTGATCGATTTTGGAAGTGTTGGTGAGGTTATTCAAATCGGCAATGAGTCTATTTCGAGACTGTCTTCTCGCAGAATTGGCAAGTTGAATTGGTCGATTGGCTTCTCTAACAACTGGTGGAACAATGTTTTCATCATTCCTTCTTCCTTCAGCATCGGCCTGGTTTTGTCTCCTTTGTTTATCAGCGGCTTGAGCAGAATTTAGAGGACTCGGTTTCCGTCTTCATAGAGTTGTCGCTGTCCATCTTCTTCATGGGCAGCATCAAGGTCATCACCATGAATTGAATCATGGTCATCATCTCCAACGTGATCCTCCTGACAATTATCGTAGAACTCTGTTGCCGCCACCTTAACTCGATTCATCTCAGTATAGTGTTGACAATTGAAGACCAACTCAATCTTCTTTTCCCAGTCTAAATACGCATCAAGATCATTCTTTCCGTGAAATGGAGGAATGTGTAGCTTGAGGCCTCCTAAACCGTCTGGAACTGTAGCCTTATCTTCTTTAGTTCGTCTATGCTTCCCTCTACTTCCTCTAGACGAGCTGCTCTCGTGACCATAGTATATATCGGCCTCCTCATCTCTGGTGCTTTTATTTGGCTCTTTGACCTTTTCTTTTCCATGATCTCTCCTCCTTGTTTCTTTGTGTGACCTTGAATCAGAATGATGCTGTTGCATCTCTTGTCTAAACTCTTCAAGTTGGGAGGCAAGAGGTTCTTCATCTCGGCCATCATGGCTTCCATCATTAATTTGTTGAAACCATTGCCACTGGTCTCCTCGTGTTGATCCGACATAGTTCCCGAGACCAAAACACAAACAAATCACTATAGATTTGTCCCAATTTTGTTAATTACAAAGAATGACTCTTCGTGTTCCTCAAGAAATCTAAAACCCTAGAATATGATCGGTTTTCATTTGAACTTAAACAGATACTACCGATGGTGTGAATCGATGATAGAGGTTTGAAAGACACAATGGTTTACTGATGAAACTTGGCGATACAAACATGAAACACTTAAATGCGAACTTGATAGATCTAAGAAAATAAGATTGAAAATGATATGGATAGAAACAACCTCATGAATTCGTTTCTCTAGTGAATAGAGTGTTGCTCTGATACCACTTAATATGATCTTCCCTGAATCGGCACTCTAAGACTGGATCTAACAAGCTTGAACTCTGAAATACAAATGATGTAAAGGACAAGGGAATGGATCGATGAGTCGCACAAAGGCTGCGGAAGACCTTTGATTTACCGGTTTGATTACACACCTAAGAATCGGGTGTTTTTGAAAGATATGACACATTCACAAACTAAGATGTTCAAAAGAACAAATGATCTTACTTAGAAAGGTTTTTAGATAAAAGAAAGATGGTTTCTCAAATGAGATTACAAGAAAATATAAAGGAAAAGAAGAGAGTCTCGGCCATCAATAGACATGTCTACAAAATACGTCTAAGTTGAAATTCAAATGTCTTCACACGCTCTCCCTTCTTGGCCGTCACATTTGGGCTGGATTTAGTGGACCTTATTGAGAAGGTGATCCAACCTTGCCTCATTAAAAACCCATCACTAGAAAACCCATTGGGAGAAAACTAGTGGTGGAGAAAAAGAGTACAAGATTGGATCACAAGTCCACAAAGCTTCGAGGACTTGGATCACAACCAAGGTATTTGTTATGAACTCTTTTCCCTCTTGAGCCAA